AAGTATTTATTACTTATTATATGCAATATTTATTAATTATGTACAAAAAATAAATAAAAAGGAAGTAAATTGTAAAAAAGTGATTTTTTAAATTAAATATTAATAAAAATAAAAATGTATTATTTTTGTATTTTTCTCCTAAATATTCTAATAAATATATAAGTATTTATATTATTTACTAAATATATTAAACATGTACAAAAAATAAAATATTTATTATTTACAAAAAAGTATATTTTTTTGGAAATTTTTTCAAGAGATAAAATAAAATAAAAAGCAGAAAATAAAAATCAGAAAATAAAATGTATTTTGTATTTTTTAGTATTTTAAATAAAAAGATATATATGTTATTTATATGTATAAACTCAAATAAAACAAATAAAATTCAAATAAAATGCAAAAATGGTTGAAAAAATGTTTTTAATATTTTTTTATATTTTGGCAAAAAATAACAAGTCAGAAATAAAAAGAAAAAATCAAAAATGATAAAAATAAAGCACAATGGGCCAAGGGGGTGCAAGTGTGGAAAAGTGGGATGCAAACAGAAAAGCAAAATTCAGGCCCAGCCCAAATCTATCTTCTTCAACCTCCAGCCAGTTTTGTTTGAAAACGCGCGCCTCTTTGCTTCAACAACAAGATCCTAATTCTTTGATTTTTAATAAAAACTCACAACACAAAAAATGTAAAGCATCATGTCACGAGTTCATACATATAAAGAACATGATCTAACTCTCAAAAATGAGAGAGAATTTCTTCTCCCCCAATTTCCGACCTAAGTTTTTTCAGATGTTCAGGTTCAAAATACTCTTAGCACACACAATATAAATGAAAAGTAAATATATGGATGGCTTCAGGGCTATGATTAGAACATGCTTTCTTCACAAACTTAAGCCTAACTATGCCTAGATAGAGAGATAGAAGTTCAAAAACTCACCTGTTCAGCTTGATTCGTATATGACAATGGAGGTACTTTCAGTGCAATGTGAGGACTTTTATAGCTTGCTTGAAGTTCATGGATGCTTCTCCAATGCTTGGTGTGCTTTGAATCTTTCTATATCAAGCTGCAGAAGTCAACCTGCAAGAGAGAAAAGTGAAAATGGAAAATGATGTTAGGGATGTTACAGTTGGTGTTCAATGCTTGGGATAGTTTGTATGGATGTTATGGAGTGTGTATGAACTGGTTTTGGCCAAGGCGCACAAATGGATTGAGTTATGGACCTCAATCTGCAGCAGGTGCCCTGTTTTGCCACAAAACTGTGTTTTGATAAATGAGAAGGTTTGAAACTTGGTTGGTTCGTGTTTTAGGTCTGGTTTGATGTTTGGAAAATGCTCACAATGTTTGCTTAGGCTTGTGTTGACAGAAATGTGAGTTGTTGTTGTGTTTGCAAAGTTGCTTCTCATGTAAGCAAAAGTGCCAAGTTGGTTTACAAGCTTATGCAGGCCCCCTAAACATGCTGCCAATGTTAGTCTTGATCAGTGGGATTAGTTCAATAACTTGTGCCTAGAAGATATGCATTGTACTTCTTTGATTCATGTTTTGACATAAAGTTGAACTTTACAAGAATAGATAAATCACTTTTTCTAATTATGGCTTAATTCTTCATGTAATGACCAAATGCATAGAATAACATCTTGGCACAATGGATTGGCATTTAATTATTGAGTGTAAATGAGATTAGAGGCCTGTAACTAGCTTGTGCAAGCTGATTTCAAAAATGCCTAAGTGTATGAACATGAAAATGGCTCATGAACAAAGTGACTTTTGCCCATATTGCCAAATTCAATTCTCCCTAACCATAAGGGTGTTTGAGAAGTTCTTGGACAATTTGGAAAGCTTGGAATGTGTACTACAATCCATCTTTGTAATGCAAGTTGAGATTCCAATTGGAAGCATGTGAAAAGTGGCCATGAAGTTAGGCAAAAATCCTGCCTAGAATAGGTCAAAATATTTCTAAGTTAAGAATGTTTTGCACCCTTGTTCGAAAAATCATAACTTGAGCTACAAGCTTCTTTTGAGGAAACTTTGTGAATCAAAGTTGTAGATTTTTCAATGTGCTACAACTTTCATGTTTTGAGTTTTGTTTGAACCCAAATGTATCTTGATGAAAGAATGGGACAAAGTTAAGAAAAAATTAGGAATTTTCATAACTTAGAAAAATTCTAAGTTATGAAATTTTCTTCATTTCAAACCCTAATTTGTGATTTTTGATTTCTTGATGAACAAGTTTCATAATTTGACATGTCTTGATGAAAAATGAATCTTGACACTTGATTTTGACCAAAAAGTCAAAGTTTGACTTTTCAGTATACAGTCAAATCTTGATCAGTTGACTCGAAAATTCATTTGTCAATCTTGTGCATTTGGGATCTTTTGAATTTGTTGAACATGTCAAGACAATGCCATTGATATCTTGAGTCCATATGTGAGCTTGGTTTGCCATTAGCTAGGTCAAACAGTCAAAAATTGCCTTTGTGCAGTCAAAACCCTAAAAATGACCATTTTGCCCTTTTGGTGATCTGATCAAATTTCTTGTGGATTTATGATCTAAACTTGATCAAATGGTTCATATGAGTTCATAATGTTGATAAGGGTCAAATTTCACGAGGTTTGACTGTCAATTGACCACAGTTGACTTTTTCCCCAATTCAGCTAATTTCTAGGTCAACTGTCCAATTGACTGGGCAAAGATTGGAATCAAAGCTTGAAACTTGGTATGGATAAACTTGTGAGTCCAATATGAAGCATGAAAGTCACTTTGGGCCTTCTAGGTCAAAACATCTTTGTGCAAACTCAAACCCTAATTTGGGTCAACAGTGCAAGGAGGGGTCTTGAGCAGAGCAAACCCTAACTTGATCTTGAGCTCCAAGGGTCTTGTGATGAGAAAATGTTGAGGAAATGGGAGGGAAAATTTTGGGGTACAACAGTGGGCATTCTTCTTAGCAAGAATTATTGCAGTAGGATAATGGCTAGGAGGATTTGAAAAGCATTATGGCATTAAGATTTCCAAGGTTTAGCCAAGGCTTAGCTCAGGACCCCACTACTCGTCGTATTTGGTTTGGTATTGCTACCGCACATGACTTCGAGAGTCATGATGATATTACTGAGGAACGTCTTTATCAGAATATTTTTGCTTCTCATTTCGGATAATTAGCAATAATTTTTCTGTGGACTTCCGGGAATCTCTTCCATGTAGCTTGGCAAGGAAATTTTGAGGCATGGGTACAAGATCCTTTACATGTAAGACCTATTGCTCATGCAATTTGGGATCCCCATTTTGGTCAACCGACTGTAGAAGCTTTTACTCGAGGGGGTGCTCTTGGCCCAGTGAATATTGCCTATTCTGGTGTTTATCAGTGGTGGTATACAATTGGTTTACGTACTAATGAGGATCTTTATACTGGAGCTATTTTTCTATTATTTCTTTCTTTCATATCCTTATTAGCGGGCTGGTTACACCTACAACCAAAATGGAAACCGAGCGTTTCGTGGTTTAAAAATGCCGGATAGAAAATGAGGCACATTAAAATGGAATATATAAGACCCCACACAAAAAGAAAACTAAAATTTTTTTATTATTAATGGGAGGGGTCAAACTTCTTCTATTGGAAAAAGCTTATATCTTATCCTGAATATGATATATAGTAAAACGAAAATATTCATATTATTTTTTTAATATAGAATATACTAATTTGAATTATATTCTAGAAAAAAATAAGAATAGAATATTAAGAATTCTTAATAGAAACGAATATTAATAGAAAATCGTATATTTCGAATAGAAAGATATAGATATTCCATAATCTATTATCTATAAAATATATATGGATTTCGACTTTTCTTGATCACTCCTAATAGATATCAAACACCGCTCTGCACAAATCGAATTGATATATCAAGTAAAAAGTACAATATAGAAAGTATAAAGTACAATAAAAAGAAAAATGTGGATATAGTTGAATGGTATAATTTCGCTTTGCCAAGGAGAAGACGCGGGTTCAATTCCCGCTATCTTCCATTGCTTATGTATTGAATAGTACATTTATCTATCTATTTCAAAAATAGAAAATAGTGAATTCCAATTTTTATCAAAAATGTTGCGGAGAAAGGATTTGAACCCGTGACCTCAAGGTTATGAGCCTTGCGAGCTACCAAGTTGCTCTACTCCGCCATAAGAAGAACAAATGATAATGAATGGAAAACAGAGATTGAATGTACCCCTCCACCATATATGTACAAATAGAATAAACCATTGATACAGAATGGTAAAGGGACCGTCCTATGATCGCGGATCATCAAAATGAATAAAAAAAATGAAGATAATTTTTTATTCTTACCAACTCGATCTTGTTGCACCGGGAAACAAACATTCGTGAACCATTTCACGAAGTACCTGTCCAGATAATCCAAAGTGTCGATAATTACCTCGTGGTCTTCCGGTCGCAAAACAACGTCGATGAAGACGTGTAGGTGCACTATTACGCGGTAGTACTTCCAACTTTCCCTGAATTTCCCATTTCTCACTTAACGATTGAGCTTTGCTCATTTCTTTTTTTGGAGATCGTCGAATCAAATGATATTTTTGTTCCAATTTTTGCCTCTTCTTCTCCCTCTCAATTACACTTTTCTTTGCCATGCTGATTCATTTCCTGTATCAATGATAGAAGTCGGATCCTAAGATATCGAAAATTGAAGAAGGTGGTTCCCCTTCTTCATACAAAGAGATTCAATTTTTGCAGATACAATAAAGAATCAAATTAACCAAATTAACCAAATTTACCGGATGTAGAGGCAATCAAGAAAGCTGCATAAGTAAATATATAACCTACCGAAAAGTGGACTAATCCAACCAATCTTGCTTGGACAATGGAAAGAGCCACAGGTTTATCTCTCCATCGAATCAAATTCTCCAAAGGTGTGCGTTCATGAGCCCATGCTAAAGTTTCAATCAATTCCTGCCAATATCCGCGCCATGAGAGCCTGTTTGAACCGCCTCCAGTAATCATGTACTTTCTTGATAAAAATCAAGACGATCTATATAAGGTTCGTCTTCCGTAGAAGAGTCGTATTCGTCTTCCGGAGAAGATTCGTCTTCCGGAGAAGATTTGTCTTCCGTATAAGGTTTGTCTTCCGTCGAAGGTTCGTTAGAAGGTTTGTCTTCTGTAGAAGGTTCGTTAGAAGGTTTGTCTTCCGGAGAAGATTCGTATTCGTCTTTCGTAGAAGATTCGTATTCGTCTTTCGTAGAAGATTCGTATTCATCTTCCGTAGAAGGTTCGTCTTCCGTATAAGGTTTGTCCCATTCAATGGGATCCAGAGAAAACATGTCTTCATCCATAGGATTCCAAGTACCTGGATCAATCGAAAGTTCGATTCTATCTGAACTGCTCATTTTCAAATGATCTCCACAGTGTTCGCAAATATTCATTTTGGATTTAAAAAATTTCTTATAATTTAATCCAAAGCAACTTCCGCATTGAACCCATAAATGCTTAAATTTTTCAGTATAAGAAGTATCTTTTGGATCATCAGGATATTGTATTGGAGTAAATTTACTATTATCTGTATCATTTGAATATTCTATTGGAGTAAAATCACTATCATTTGTATCATTAGAATTTTCTATTGGAGTAAAATCACTATCATTTGTATCATTAGAAAATTCTATTTGATACAAATCACTATAATTTGTCATTTTTTATTCAACTCTATTTTTTTTTTAAGAACAGGAGGAGTATCTCTAGTAATCGACTTGATTTTTTCATATTTTTTTTTTGCATTTTTAACAAAAGGTGACGAATTTACAAAAGGTAACAAAGATAAAATACGCGCTTGTTTTATAGCAATCGTAATCAATCGTTGTTGTTTTAAGGTCAACTTATTCACACATCTAGGTATAATTTTTCCTTGTAGCGTGATAAATTCGAAAAGTAAACTCAAGTTTTTATAATCAATTCGATCCCCAGATTGGATTAGGGGCGAACTCCTACGAATTGATTGCTTCGATTTAACAAACAGTCGATTAGATTTCTCCATGGTTTGTTTATTCCTATACCGAAAATCCCGTTTGTTTTATAAAAAAAGGATTTGTTTTAGTTATATTCTTTTTTTTTTGTAATATATTTGGAAAATATACGCTATATAATGATCTATGTATATAATTTTATGTTATAGAATGTTATTTATATAATATAGATAAGATAATTTATCTGGTATCTATATAAGCACAGAAATAAAAAACACATTATCATTTTATGATGATCCCTCCAAACAAGCACAGGCTTATCGCCAAATGTCTCTTCTATTACGAAGACCACCAGGTCGCGAAGCTTATCCCGGAGATGTTTTTTATTTACATTCGCGTCTTTTGGAAAGAGCCGCTAAATTAAGTTCTCAGTTAGGTGAAGGAAGTATGACTGCTTTACCAATAGTTGAGACCCAATCAGGAGATGTTTCAGCTTATATTCCTACTAATGTAATTTCTATTACAGACGGCCAAATATTCTTATATGCCGATTTATTCAATGTTGGGATTAGACCCGCAATTAATGTGGGTATTTCCGTTTCCAGAGTTGGATCGGCGGCTCAAATAAAAGCCATGAAACAAGTAGCTGGTAAATTAAAATTGGAATTGGCACAATTCGCAGAATTAGAAGCTTTTGCACAATTCTCTTCAGATCTCGATAAAGCCACGCAAAATCAATTGGCAAGAGGTCAACGATTGCGCGAGTTGCTTAAACAATCCCAATCAGCTCCTCTTACTGTGGAAGAACAGATAATAATTATTTATACTGGAACAAACAGTTATCTTGATTCATTAGAAATTGAACAGGTAAGGAAATTTCTCCTTGAGTTCCGGGCTTATTTAAAAATGAATAAACCTAAATTCAACGAAATCATATCTTCTACCAAGACACTCACTGGGGAAGCAGAAGCCATTTTGAAGGAAGCTATTCAGGAACAGATGGAACTCTTTTTACTTCAGGAACAAGTAGAAAAAATTGATTAAAATTTTCATACCGTTAAAAAATTTCTATCATTAGTCTCTTAAAAAAAAGAATCATAAAGATAATAAATTCACAATATATTTTTAGAAATATACGAATTCAATTAATATATATGCAATTGCAATCAATTCAATATGTAATCAATTTGCGTCCAATAGCATTCGAACCTATACCAAATATTTAGAAGACCTTTGTCCTATCCATTAGACAATGGAAACTTTTCTTTTTTCTTTCCCTTTTCACGAAATTTTCGTGAAAAGGGAAAGAAAAAAGAACTCTATACTAAAACTAAATGAAGAAATTTACTAAATAAAAAATAGAATATAAGCGGGTAGCGGGAATCGAACCCGCATCGTTAGCTTGGAAGGCTAAGGGTTATAGTCGACGTTTATGAATGAACGTCTCTAATTCAAAACTGAACGTGAAATTTTTGTTTCATTCAGCTCCTTTACAGAATAATTTAAGAGATAGATGGAATACATGAAAAAAAGAATCCATAACATCTATGTCAGCCTTTCGGTATGAATACAATTAACGTTGCTTTTTAGATGATCCCTATAGAAAAGGAGTATTCGAACAATCTCTTTTTTTCTAGTTACTTCGTTCTCTATTTCTATTTGAGAGAATCTTTAGGAAAAGAATAAAATTTCCGTCGAGCTAAAAAAATATGTTGATGTTTCTAGTAAACTAAAAAAATCATTTCATAGCTATTTTGCTTCAATCTCTCCTATACAAAACAAATAATAAAAAAATTGGAAGATTTAGTTACGATTGGAAACGAATTTTATATATCTTTCTCCCTGGATCCTTTACTTATATTCAAAAATTGGGATTCTGGATCCAATTGCAAAAACTTATGTTTCATAATTTTAGAATCAATTCTAAATTGTATACAAATTATGATAATGTATATTATTCTTTGAATTGCTCCTTGAGAGGTATAAAGGATTAAATACCTTTAAGTAAGAAATAAAGTTTTTGATTGTGATATGAATCACGGAAGGGACCCCTTAACTATTACTATTAAGGGGTCGATAGAACGAACCACACTTTTACCACTAAACTATACCCGCTACAATACTATTATTGTATATAAAAAGATCTTTTGTCAATATCAATACAGGAAGGGGAATTAGTCTTAATTATGAAATAGGTGCAGAATTTTATGATAAATACAGTGTTCACATGTTTCGTAAAGGGCCCCCTAATGAAATTTAGAAAAGGGGGCGAATCTCATTTTTGGATTTTGTTGAGGGTACTTTGACAGATAGATCTCGACAAAATTACTAAACGAAATTCATAAGACAAAAATGCATTGTGCAAGAATCCATAGTTCTATTTCTTTTTTTAGATACGTTAACTGATTAATTCGTATGATATACGATCAAAAAGTTATTTTTATTTTTGTTTGATCGTATTAAAATGTTTTCCTTAATTACAAGTTTCTTTCAAATCTGATACAGAAAAATAAATCATTGTGATTCATGGGAAAAAAGAGTCGTGCCAGTACCTAGCTGGACTCTGGTTGGATAAAAAAACAAACTAAAAAAAAAAAGAAAAGAAAAAATTTTATATTGCGTATATATAGAATATAACTTTAGTATAGGTATAAGAAAATAGAACTAATATTTATGAGTTAATACAAAATTATGAATAGTAATTAAATAAAATGATAATCAAATAGAAAAAAGATAGATAGATAAGATATATCAAATGACGATCAATATCAAATAAGATATATAGAAGGCTTTTTTGAGCCCTACTTTTTGTTCTTTTTGTTTATCCGAGGTATCATAAGCATAATAATTCAATTTTTTGAATTGGGGAGAGATGGCTGAGTGGACTAAAGCGTCGGATTGCTAATCCGTTGTACGAATTTTTGTACCGAGGGTTCGAATCCCTCTCTTTCCTTTTATTGATGATTTGGCATTTTTTTCTTTTGAACTTCTGGAATTTCTTTTTTTTATTCCCTGTTTGTTTCATTTTTTACTAGTTAAAGATGTAAAATAGATAGAAAAACGAAAAATATTTAAAAATTCAGCATAAGTACGGAAAAGAACAAAGATTTTCTTATTCTTCACGTCCAGAATTACGTCCTGGATCATTAGATAGGAATCCGAAGATGAAAAGAGAAACAAAGAATATCACTATTGTGTAAACAAATAGTTTTAGAGTAAGCATTACAAAATCTCCAAGATAATAATTAAAAAAAAAACGACAGAGAAAGATAATAGATTCTCTTGTATTTCATATTATGTTTCCTTTGATACTCAATTTATAAGAAATGAAGTTATTTCAAAAAAACTAAAAAAATTGATTTGTAGTAAGAGTTGAGCCTTTGTTTTACCATTACCAACAATTCAATTTTCTTTCATATCCACAAGATCCACGTATTGGTGGTAGACTCAAATCGAATAATAGAATAATATAATTTTTATTTTTGAATGGAAAAAAAGGAAATGATGAGATGATCCATATTTTTATTGTCTATCCAACAATTTCAAGATTTATAATCACGGATTCACACTGTAAGACTTATCTTATTTTTAAAAATGTTAAAATTTGAGTTTTCTAATAAATTCTGACTTCTTTTTCGAACATTATTCAAATTAAAGATCTTATCGAAAACTTACAGCAGCTTGCCAAACAAAAGCTAAGAGAAAAAAGAGTAAGGGTATTACTGGCATAAAATCTACAATTGGATTCAAAAGAGCGTAAGCTTCTGGTAATTTCCCCAAGAAAAAACTACTTGAATAAAGGGCAGAGTGAATACAAATACAGACCGAGCTAAAGATATTAAGCATAACAAAAATGTTTTTCTTTAAGAAAATGAATTGTCTTTTTTCTATTGGAAAAATCCTTTATAAGGGATGGTAAGTTTATCATAAAATGGAGTACCTCAATTTCATATTTGTACCTGTTCTTTTTTGTTGATTGTTAGATTAATATTTGGATTCTTCTTATATTGGAATAAAGAAAGTCTATAATCACTAGAATTCATATAGACTTATACTAAGTCTATTTTTTTAATTCTACTATGTAGAGCTAAATAAATAGATATGATATATATATATATATATATATATATATATATATATTAATCAAATTAAATATGTACAAAAATAAAATAAAATATGTACAAAAATAAAATATATTTAGGAAAATATTTTTAGTATGAATAAAAATAAAGAACAACAATAAAAGTATAAATTATATATATTTTTCAAGTCTTAATAAATAATATGAAAGTATTTAAAATGTTTTTTATGTTAGAAAAATTAAAATAAAATGCCAAATAAATGTAAAAAAATTATGAAAATATTTTTGAGCATTTTTTATATTTGGAAATAAATAAACAAAATCAGAAATGAAAACAAAAATGCAA